TGGGTGGGTGGATGGATGGATGGATGGATGGATGAATGAAAGAAAGAAAAAGAAAGAAAGATAAATGTATCACGATAATTTGCTTTGTATATCCAAAAAGCTAACATATGTGATTCATATACATTGAAAGATAAAAGTGGACCAGCAAGGAGCTAAGCAAGACCTCATTATCCAACGAACCATAAACAATTTTAGGAAAATGACAGCTAATCCACATGAAGGCGCTGTAAAACTAAATTTTCCTAACAAATTCTTTCTTTCAATTGTTTCCGTTTGATTTAAATTGAAATCCTCCTTTTCAAGAGCAGGCTCATATTCCGGTCCTTAATTAATGGACACCCTTATTTATCTTTAGATAACAAAAAGGGTACTTATGAACCACTAAAAGAGCTTCCTTTGAGCAACCCGCTTCTAACTGTTTTCTCTCCAGTATATTTTCTATATTTTGTTCATCGTTAATTTGCTACGCAAAACTTTATAGTCTTACAGTCTGTAAATAAGGCTTTGGGCTTTCTCGTATAGTTTTTACTCGAGTTTTGGATTTCATCTGCCGTTAAGACAATTCTGGTTTTTTGCTAGAAACCTGGATTCAGCACATCAGATGGACAAAAAAAACGAAGCTCCAAAGCTAGAGCTAGAGTCGATGCTACCGCTATTGTTGTAGAAATACTTAAATAAAAGAAGATTTACGAAGGTAAGCATTATGTTATTAGCAGGCCTACTTGCATTTGCTTTATAACCAATGTAGGTAAGAAAAGGCGTCTTTCGTCTCCAGTAATACTTCACATTAAGAACACCCCTAATATTGCCACATGATTAAGGTCCAAGTCATTGATATTATCAGTACGAATTTTCAGCTACTGTAATGAAACTGTAGTTTTATTAGTTAAATATGGTATGATTGAAAATATATATTTAGATATACCGCTTCGAGAGAAAGTTAAAAAGTTCGTGACGACGACAAATTCGAATAAACGAAAAGAAAAGAGGTTTTGAGGATGTGTTCTGTATGAGACAGCGAAACACCTGTCTTCCTACATGTTCTTAACAAAAACCACGAATAGCAGGAGCCCTTTTTCTTGTTCTTATTTATCTTCATGATATTTGCATATTTGAAAAGGTAATTCACCATACAAAGCATTCCGACATTCTGACTTATGTCTGCCGATAAAATATAAAAAGTGCAATCTAATACATCTAATGTACTGGTCAAAGTTATTGTTCATGATAACCTATAAAAAATTGAGAGTGAGAGTTATTACTCACTCAATTTTTTAAATTCTTTTAAAAACTTTTTGTAGATTTGTTTATATATATGTGGTTGTTTTTTGTTTGTTTCTCCTTCTTCTCTTCTTTTCCATGTTGTTGTTGTTGTTGTTGTTGTGGTTGTTATTGTCGTTGATGTTGTTGATGATGCTTTTGTTATTGTTGCTGTTGTTATAATTTATTGATGTTGTTCGTCTTCTTCTTTTCCATGTTGTTGTTGTTGTTGTTGTTGTTGTGGTTGTTATTGTCGTTGATGTTATTGAGGATGTTTTTGTTATTGTTGTTGTTGTTTTTATTTATTGATGTTGTTCGTCTTCTTCTTTTCCTTGTTGTTGTTTTTTTCTTCTTTTCCTTTTTGTTTTCCTTTTTCTTCTTCTTCTTATTCCTTGTTGTTGTTGTTCTTCTTTTTACTCCTCCTTCTTTGTTATTGTTCTTCTTCTTCAATCCGTCTAATATGTCTTCGATTCGTCACCAAAAGCATCTCTAATTTTTATCTCGTTTCTGTTTGCCTACACCCTCACAATATTCAAGTCCCTCGTTAAATGCTTTAAAGTGGCGGCAAGTTGTCCACGTTTCCATTAACGTTAACGACTGTTCTCACTGTTCAAGAATACTAAAAAAACTCAAGATCTTTTGGATTCAACTAAAAGTCCACTATCAAAAGCCTCTTGAAAAAAATTTAATGATTTGCGTGCCTAAGTTTTTTATTCATAATGCAAACATATCCTGTTTTCAAAGGTATGCTTTTTTAGTTCCTTTATCTCCAGAATCAAATTTTTTTCTTTTTTGTGGTCTTTGATGTCGCTGTGTTGGTAAAGCTCTTAGCTTTACGTTCTTATGATCATTAGAAGAAGATTATTAGATTATTAGAGATGCATTTGCCTGGAACCGTTATGAGATTTCGGCACAATTTCCTTGGAAGTATTCTATAACGATAATAAAGCTAGCTGTTATTAAAGTACATTAAAAAATTTTAAAATCGAGCGAACTGTCTTGATAATTATGATGTAAAAATTTCATCCCTGTTCGACAACAGTGAAAAAAAAAGTTTTGCCTCAATAATAATAAAAGAAACTATCGCGCAACTATGGAATTAAGAAAAAGACAGTCTACTATACTATACAATAAGATCTTTTATAAAATATTTTTCTTACCGATTCAACGAAAAATGCTACTATGTAGATAACCATCAAATTACCTTTAGTATAGGCTTCTAAATAATGTATTCATATATAGACCAGTATTTGGACAGGCCTGTGGTAAAACACACCACTTGGGATACAGATTGTCCATTTGAATAGCTTGATCAATTTGCGGCTTGCTTTGCTTCGCTAGGTCTTCTAGCTTGCGGTTTTATGAGGGTAGTTCAAATATAAGATTTTTATCATTGGCTGATAAAAGAAAAACCCCAATGCAGTTGTCGACCTACAGATGATGCTCAAATAGAATACGGTTTTTAATGCTTTGCAAAGGGTTTGTCCAGTAATTGGACGAACAGCTCTGGCTGTTTTATTATATTTGCCTCTTTCCGGTCTTGATTATTACTAGTTGCTATAACCTGGAAAGAACTGCCATTGTCAAACAATTCAAACACCGTGTCTGATATTCAACTGTTAATTCTGCCCGATATTAAAGTATACTATGTAGATGTTGCTGAGAAATAAGTTTCCAAAGCAGGACACATTTGGTAAGAAAAAAACACGATATATACATATAT